TTTGGTGTGCATGTCATAAGCTTTTGGAGGACAAGTTTTCAAGAAAATATTTGATGGGTTTGCATAGTTAAATAGAGGAGTTCGTTAGCGACGCGTAGAAAAAAAAAACAGAACTCAATTCCGAGTTCAAACGAACCCGAACGAGCAAAAATCATAAAGTCGTGCAGTGCAGCCCAGTTTTCTTCACCGCGGTCGTGACCCCTTTCTTCACTGCGGCCGCTGCGAACAAAAAACTGCCAGCGCCCAACCTTCTACCCAAAAATGTCGCGGCCGCGGAGCCTTTGCTCACCGCGGCCAGCGGGAAGCTCCGCGGCCGTGGAGGGCGACAGACAGCTTTTTAATAGCGAAATTTAGCTTTCGTTGGGATTATTCTCCCTCTCCTGGGGACGAACGTAGGGCAAGAAAACAAGCAAAAACTCCTCTTTTCCCCTTCTTCTCCCCTCTTCTTCTTCTTCTTCTTCTTCTTCTTCTTCTTCTTCTTCTTCTTCTTCTTCTTTCTTCCTTCTTCTTTCATCTTTCTCTTCTATTTTTCTTCCTCTTTTTCTTGGAATTCAAGGATTAAGCTTTGTAATTTTGGATTCAACACCCGAATTGCGATTTATTGTGAGTTCTTCTCTTTATTTTTAATTCATGAAAAATGATTGAATTGAGAGAGATGATTGATTGTGTTGAATTGATATTGCGTAGCTAATTCTTATTCCTAGGGATAGGGGATGATTGTTCTTGTTTAATTCGTATCTCCCGGGCTTGAATTGTTCGTTCTTGTGTGGGTTGAATTGATTTAAAAATGTTGAATTCTTGTTCGATAGATTGATATAATCGAAAAGTGACATTTCGATCTTGCTATTGGTGACAATTGGATGTTAATTTGTCGAGTTAGGATTTGTCGATTCTATGTGATTAGTTGATTAAACTTCTTCTAATTGAATTAGCGATTTTTAGACCCGAAAGGGGAAGAAGTCGTAGACCTAGACTTGCATGAGGTAGACGATGTCGTAACTGATTAGTCTATAAGTTTTGGGTTGAAATACGCGCTTGTCGATGACCCATCCCTTATTACGAAAAGTTATTGGGATTGGGATAATTGGCATGTGTCGTATGCTCGAGTTTGTTCGTCTATGTTCAATCCCTTATTACGAAGAGTTATTGGGAGCGAACCGCTAGATGTTTAAGCGAGAGCATCAATCTAGAATAGAATGATTCATGTCCCGGTTTGCGAGTAGAACTTGAATTAATTCCCCGACTCCCTAACTTCTCCATCTTTGTTCGTTTGCATTTTTAGGTAGATTATTATTTTTATTTTATTTCTTGGTTAATAATTCATCCAAACGGCTATCTGATTAGAGTGTTTAGGATCTATTTTTTTTTATGTGTGATTGATTCCAAAGCTGAATTCCGAACCGCCTTCCTCGTGAGATCGACCCGAGAAACGAATCTTTCGATTCGGTACTCGGTAAAAATAACAATTTGTGCTACAACACATGCATATATTCATTGACATTGACAAATATTGAAAATGGCTTTATATTGTGGGCAAAATTACAAAAATGATACACTAAGTTGGTCGTTGTCAACAAAAAAGACACTATGTTGTCCCTCACGGAAAAGATACACTTAGTTGGCTTTTTGCACGAAAAAGATACATATTTACAAATATGATACACTAAGTCAGGCATAAGCAATCCAAAGTCAGACATAAGTGATACACTTAGTGTATCAGTTTTGTAAATATGTATCGTTATCGTGCAAAAAGCCAACTAAGTGTATCTTTTCCATGAGTGACAACATAGTGTCTCTTTTGTTGACAACGACCAACTTAGTGTATCATTTTTGTAATTTTGTCTTATATTGTGATAGCATAGTAAATTTGAAAGTTATGAAGTTTCAATGTACTAAGTTGACATCTTGGCCACTAAGAGGAAAAGGTAACAATTTTGTCAATTTTGGAATATTAAAAAGAGTGAAATATTTTGAAATCTCTGTATTAAAGCAGGTCTACATCAAATAAAAGTTACTTCTCATATCATAATTGCGCAAACTCGAAATATCAAAACTATAGCAAAGCATATATGCCTGAAATTGCGGTTTACATAAGTTTAGGATTCTGAATATGCTGAAATAAACTTGTATTTGCTGGACTGGTGTTGCATTTTTTTTTTCTTGAACTTTCAAAAGCGACAAGCATTGCTCAACTATCATCAAATATTGAGGTACCTCTAAGACTAGTGATTGGTATATTCACTGAAAAAAAAAAAATCCATATTCCAAGGGAAATCAAAGGCTGAAAGTGATAATAGATATTTTAATATTATAACTTCCGTTGGAATGATTCCAATAGAAATTTCAGCAAGAATATTTTGTCGGAATAAGTTTTTTGTTGAAACTTTAGTTGGAATTTGATGATTCCGACGACTATTTTTTCAATAGTTTATTATTGTAGAAATATTCGTAGGAATTTATATTTCCATCAACATTTCAACAGTTGAAAAATTTACCGTGTAATCCTCTAAATCAAATGAAAATTTCAATGGAATGCTCATTCCAACAGAATATATTCGTTAGAATCCTTTGAAATATTTCAACGAAATAATAATATTGGAATATCTATCAAAATTGTCATTGAAAAATACAAACAGAAATAATAGTATAGCAACAATCCACTAGAAAATTCAAACAAATCTAATGCGGAGTCTTCAGTTAATTAGTCAGGTCACCATTAATTAGATTGCTCTTTGTATGTGCATATAGTTTTATTAGAAATTTTCATTATTAGAAATGACTTGTGAGTTGTCTTACATTGTTTCTATAGAGAAAATGAACCTAGTAGGTTATTCCTCCCTTTACCAATTGGTTTTGGGATGGAACTTCACTTAAGTGCACCTAGCTAGGCTCAACCTCTTATGGTGCGCTTCACGTGCATAGGACCGCGCTCGTTTCCCCCGATTCTTACATAGTACCAGAGCGGGTCTGACCTAGGACCTGAGATGATGTACTCTTTAACCGGCCTACTCTGTAGGCTTGGGCTTCGTATGAATGGCTCACAGGTGAGCAGTGATATTAGAATATTACTTGTGAGTTCATCACCAATTGGTTTTGTGATGGAACCACACTAGTGGGCACATAGGTTCACCTTTTTATGGTGCGTTTCACGTGCATCGGACCGCACCTGTTTTTGCCGATTCTTACATTCATAATTAACGTATAAAAAATTATAATTTTTTATACACTACTACAAAAACTCTTACATTCCAACGGAAAATTTCCGTTGGAATACTTTATATTTTCCGTTGGAATAGCTATTCCAACAGATATTCCTACGTATAAAAGTTCGTAGGAAAAACGGCCGTTGCAATAGCTAAAATCCAACGGAAAATCCTATGCAAATAAATTCCTACAACTATTCTAACGGAAAAATCCGTTGGAATTCCTCAACCATCCAACACTTATTCCAACATAAAATTAAGTTTGTTGAAATATTCATTGAAATTTCCAACGGAAACTTTTGCCGTTGGAATTTTTCGTTGGAATTGAAGTGCTTTCTTGTAGTAATAGCATAGATATATAAATATTTGTGTACATATATAAAATGACGAGTCGACCCACTTAATAGTTGAAACTCTTTAAAAATATTAGACTTCCAAACTCGCCCATCACTCTAAATAAATATAATTTTATACTAGCTAATTGAGTAGCTTCTTTTAAATTCTATTTAAAATTTAAACCAGGGTTGTTATCAATTGTCCAAGACAAATGATAGAAGAGAGATTTTATATTAATTAAATGGATATACAATTCCAGGTTTCATATTCAGGGTGCACTTAATTACTTTATTATTCTTGATGATAAAATTCTTTTGCCACAAACATAGTGTTAAGGTTAGTCTTATTTTATTCTTGTCTTTGACCATTTCTGCAAAACCACTTTCCAATCTTGGCCGGTTAAGAATTAGGGAGCTTAATTTGAGCTTAAATTAATAATAATAATATTAATAATTTATAAGCCGTGAATGATGGCATGATACTTATCTGTATTGATCAATGACAATAATTCTCATCTTCACCCACTTTTAGTCATAGTAATTAATATTTTATATATGTAATTTATACGCTAATATCGAATCAAATATTTCGAGGGCACGCTGATTTTTATTTTTATTTTTATTTTGGACTTCTAATGGTATTAGTATTGTATTATTATGACACATGCCCTTTGTTCCTTTTTTTTTTTAAATAAAATAATATAATCATTAAACATAATATTAGTAATAAAAGTCAAGTATATCAATTATTTTTTTATAATTTATTATAGTGGTCCTATATATCAACTACTTGGGATTGTAATCATTAATTTTTTTCTCATCCGAAAATGGCAGAAGTCTTTAAAATTGCACTAAATGAGCTAGTGATGAATACATAATTTTTTTTTTTTTTTTTTTTGGTACCAATAAATTTCACCATCATGTTTTAATAAATGGAGGATTTTGTATCTTTTCCAAGTCAAACTTTTGAAGACATTCCCAAATCCTTATTTT